CGAGGAAGGCTTAAGCGTTTCAAAGTCTTTTCAGGATGTTCCAGTGGTTCACAGCATGGTTGGCGTGTTGGTACTTCCAATGGCAACCTACAACGTCAATGTCCAGCTGCTCGTCTGTAATGTGGAGGGGAAGTGAGTAAGCAACTGCTGCACGTGATCGCAAACCCCCCTTCCAGGCCGCTTTCAAAAAAACTTGATTTGGTGTGGAAGCTCATGCCACGGCAGTCGCGCTGGAAGGAGAAGGTTTCAGGCATGGTCGCAAAAGAACACCCTATACAGGGGCTCGTAGCTGTGCGCCGCGCAGACCTTAAAACCAACATCCTGAGCCTTACTGTAACTCCCGTGAACCCCCTAAACCCTTTTGACCGTTCTCCGCCCTACCGTGGCGTTTCTCCCATCCAAAGCTTTCGGGCCAGGACGTGGCGGAGCCGTCTGTGCCGGGGCCCCGGAGGCTTTCAGTCGAAGCTGTCCGTTCGGGGATTTGAAGTTTGATTGTCGGATATTGTCGGCTATACTATCGCATAGTGCACAGTATAGCTTTAGTGTAGTCTAGCAATAAGTCTGCTGCTGTCGCATCTCTACTTTGTCATGTTTGCCCACACGACTTGGTGCGCCTTTTTTCATCGTCGAAGCTTCAGTCCTGCGCCCTAACACACGTCGCAGTTTCGTTATCTCTGCCCCAGCCGACGCCCACATTTGCACCGGCCGAGGCTGCAGCACCATGGAGGAGTGGAGCCGCCTGGGCCTGGGCCCAAGACGCTTAGAAGTCGGAATTTAGGGTGTAAGGTTCAGCGGTTGTGATGTCCGTTTTTCGTTTGAGGTTTAGGGTACTTTGAACTCACAATCTCTGCCATCTGCCCCCAGCGTCGCCCACGTTTGCACCAGCCCAGGCTGCAGGGCGAAGGAGAAGGGAAGGCGCCTGCACCTGAACCCGGTGGGCTGAAGACGTGGGATTTAGAGTTTCAGGTTCGCGGTTGTTGCTTGGTATTTGTTTGCTTAAGGCTTGTAGCGCTATCTGCTTCCAGCACTGCGTTTCCCTGCTGCTCCTTTCAAGGGGCTGGTGCGGACGTGGGCCACTGCATCATTGCATTGGCATGCTCAATCTTCAGCATTGCCTGATCAACGTTTCATGTCTTTTCGGTCGGTCAGCTCAACACCTGCTGTCTTGAACTCTTCCCAGGATTAAGTCAGACAAGTGAACCCACCGAATTTAAGCACGGGATATACCGGGCTTTGAAACCCAAATATTTGAAGTCTGCTTCAGGACGTCGACGAGGACAAGAACAACAAGACAGGGAAAGAGACGAAGGATAGCAGCCGCCCGGCGCAAACTTCAACTTCATAGAAAATCTCTTGGGGCCTTGATCATATAATCATAAATGGCTCTTCCGATTTGGTGGTCGCTAGCCCTGCTCGTGGATGTTGTTATTGTTGCTTGTTGCAATGTCGTTTCTACTTCCAAAGCATGTTAATATTGCTTCATTGAGAAAGCCACCTGCAGTACATGGTCTGATATTCAGTCGCAGCTCTTGCGTAGCTTCTGTTGTAGTTCTTCGTCGCAACTGTTTCCTCTGTCCTACGCCTCACTATGGCAAAGCAGCTGCTTCTTCAAGCCCTCTCCATCCACAAAAGAGGACCCTAAGGCCTAAGCCAAGGTGCCGAAGAGAAGGAGAATGAAGGCAAGAAGGATTGGGGCAATGGATCATGTTAAGGCAGCAAGCTGGTTTTCAGCGCCACATAAGGCTTCCGATGCATGGTCGAGGGGGCTTCAAACTAAAACTGTTCTGGGCTCAAGAGGCCCGTCCTGCGCCAGGGAGGCTGAGGCATTGATTCCGGAACTTCGGGCAGCGACCCACTGGGCTTCAAATCAGGAGCTCGGCCTCCAAGGCCTTGGAAAGACACGCTTGCTCCACAGCGCCTCAGAATACACGCCCCCATACTGTCGCGCCGCCCTATGAAGTCGCAAGGGTTTGGTTGGGCACTAGGCCCACTGCCGGCGATTCTTTGAAGGATCTTGCGATGTTTACCACCGGTCTGAATGTCTCCACCTCTCGCTGGAGCTTCTTCAGCATAGCCCTCTGATCAGTCAAAAGACTGTGCACTGTGCATCCCGCATCCTCAGCCTGATAGATGCGATCTCTCGGACCTTGTCGTTCTGGTTGTGCGCCATCCAGCAGCGCCCACCATCTGCTGATAACAGCGGTAGCCAGACTCCGACATAGCCAGACTCCGACACATCAAGGACGGTGCCCACAAGACGTGTCTTCATCATGACGACACGCACAGACCTGGTCTCAACCTGCAGGCCTCAAGTTGCGGCAGACCCGCTCACTAAGCTGACCCCGCTTCGTGCATGCTGAGTCCGATTCGGTTCGAAAGACCCACATATAAGGCTTGCGAACTCGGCGTCTTGGACTCGTGTAGCAGTTTGCTCACTTCCCCCCCTCCCCTGGGACGGCAAGTCGGTCCGCCAGGTCGGTCCGCCAGCTCAAATGCAAAGCTCCCGCGGGCCTGTGGCTCACTGACTTGATGAAACAGATTTCCGGGCAATGCCGACTCGTAAAGCTTTCATGTCTGCGTCGCTGTTCGAAGCCGTGCCAGTGCTTCAAGTGCTTAGAACTGCAAATGTCTTGAGTCATGCTCTGCCGTGTCTGACCTTTGTCATGTGGCTGAGCCTGCGGAGTGGGAACCAGTAGGGAGCCGGTTGGGCTCATAAACCTCTTGTACTCCCCTCCCTAGGATCTTGCACTACCCTCGGGTGCCAGGGTTTGAGGCGTGTTGTTCTTCTTCTTCTTCTGCTGCTGCTGCTGCTGCTGCTTACGGAATAGATCTCGTCCATCTCCATCCCGCATGATACCCCATATCAGCAGCGCTCGCACTTGAGCCATCCTGATGGCATCCTGTATGTTGATGGCAATGTAACGTGCGCACTTCTTTGATCGTCCGCGCGCTCACACGCAACTGGACTTGTGTGTCGCGCTCGGGAGGACCTCAAACACGGGGCCTTCAGCCTCACCAAGCCGCGGCAGCTGTACCTCATGGTGCCAAAGCAAATGCACCTGCAGCAGAACTCGGAGCTGATTATACAAAAGGCTCTGCAGACGTGGAACCTGCAACCGCCCAACATGCTCCTGGGCTTCCACTCGGGCTTCGCGCACCCGAAGCACCTGATCTCCGCGGACCCTCCCCATCACAGACAGGGATGTGTCGGAATTCTGATGGGGGTCCCCGGATGAGTAAGCGCTGTAGATAACATGGCTTCAGCTCCTGAAAAAGTGGTCCTTAAGGAAGCTCGCCACTGACCCAGGACACCCTTTCCGAGATGGATGAGGACGGGTCTGGCGGCGCAATCTTCCGACTGCTGAAGGACCTCCTCAGGCACTCCTGCATGCGCCTTTGCAAGGCGAAACCCTCACTGGACAAAACGATAAACGAAATGAAATCATCGAGTGACGTGAAAGACGCAGAAGATGAGTTGTTGCGCTGGTTTATCGAGGAAGCCAAGAAGGTGTCTGACGAGGAACCGAAAGATGCCCAAAAGCAACACGAGCAGGAGGTGCCCGACAACCAGAAGCAAAAGGATGTTTCTGAGGAGCAGGAAGGTGACCGACAGCAACGCGAGCAGAAGGTGCCTGACAACCAGAAAAAAGAGGATCCCGTTGCTAAGATCATACGTGAGATATTGGAGGGCTTGAACCGGACTCTGCATGCAGAGTTGGAGCAGATGCTGCGGTCCATCATCTCCACTGCCGCTGATGCGAATTGCTGGATTTTGGTGAAAGGCCTCGGCAGCCGAACTGTAGCCGCAACAAAGTGCCCCGCAACAAAGTGCCCCGCAACAAAGTGCCCGCGCGTAGGGTATGTTTATACTGTCTGTATAGGAATTTCAGCGAATTCAGCAGTAGGTGTGCTCAGGAACTTACACCGTAGCGCAGACATGTGTGAAATGGTGCAGTCTTTGAGAGGTGGGGCGGACGGTGGCCACGTCATGTTGGAACAGATCTGTGACAGCTTAGATCGACCGCCTGTCGTTTTGGTGCTGGACTCCCCGTACCGAGACCGCTATGGCTACGAAGGTAAGGACAAGTACTACAGCAAGTACGGCTATTCTGCAAAAGCCAGAGAAGAGCTAGACAAAGCACTGGAGCGGGGCCAGGAGATGACAAAGAAGTTGAGAAACAACACCCAGCCCTTGGGTGCAGCCGCAGAGGAGCCCTTTCGAATGCCGCGTGATTTGGGCTTCTGGCAAGAGAAGGGCGTGAAGCAAGAGTGGCGAGCGACTTCCAGGAATTTCACGGATGCTCACAAAATACGGTGGAGCCAGTGGATGTATCGGTCAGGCTCGGGGAAAAGTCTGAGGCTGGGAAAACAGTCGGCGTGATGCTTCAAGATATAAGGTCGCAGAAGCGCGCACCCTGCAGGCAGTCACTACATCCTAACAGAGGACCCCAACTTCTGGGAGCTGGATTTGAGCAGTCTGGGCGTCACCGGAAGCATTCACATGAACGGTGGGCGAGGCATGCATTTTCTTGTTGTTGAGCTCTACTACGTGCTCTTTTTTCCTCGATGCTTTAAGAGAAAGGAAGGCAACGGAAAGGAGAAGAAAGACGGACTGGAAGGATGGTGGGAAAGGAACAAATCCGGGCGGAAGGACTCGGCGCAAACAAGTGGGTAAATGACCAACTAGTGTTTGATGAGCTGCTACAAGAAATTGGGAATGGAAGGGCTATGCAAAGACGTGGGAATCCCATCAATGTCCATAGGGTAAACCGCATTTTTTCTACGATGCCTAAACCCAAGCCCATGAATGAACATCCAAGGACGCCGAGGCAACAAAATGAACCACTACTTCCCCCCAGCCCTCCCCCTCCCCCCATAAAAGAGGCACCCTGGATGATGTCGTCGGCTGTCTTCGAAGAGGTACCCCGACAATCATCCTAGCAGACACGGGCCGAGTTTGTCAACGGTTCGCACACATTCATCAGCAGGCGCTGCGGTGGATGATGGGCGGCAGCATCGGCAGCAGTCGCGATGATGTGCCCGAGGAGCAGCCGAGTTTGCCAATCCGCCGACAGTCTGTTTTCCTGTCAACAAGAGGCGAGGTTGGCTCCTCAGGCAAGCTTGGCCTGTCAACAAGAGGCGAGGTTGGCTCCTCAGGCAAGTTTGCCAGGAGAAAACAGAAACAGCCCTTCGAGCTACAGAGCATGTGGCTAACGGAGACCGAGTTCGACAAGGATGTATGGACACCTGGTGATGCAGGGCAGCTGCTGAAGCTCTATCGGGACACGCCACACAGGATCGCGAGGCTTTGCGCGGTCCTAAGCCCACTCAACAGCGCGGACAGGCACCGAATGCAAAACCACGTGGCAATGGCTATAGGCTGGGCACCTCCCACTGCTGCGCCGATCCACTTCGTAGCCTTAGCAAATTAAGCGTAAACTGAGCAGGGCTTTTGAGCACCACAATTGCAGGGTTGGCAGTGCCCAGAAGGCACGCGAGATCCTGTCCTGCAGGCAACGCCATGTTTCTTCCGAGCAGCGACTTAGTCGAAAAGGTGGACAAGGACTGCGTAGAGCAGGCAGGTGGCACCATTGGACGAAAAACCCTCTGCATACAATGACTCCTGCGAGACTCAAGATTTACAGGCATGGGCGGCTCACGCCCAGCTGCTGGGCCTTGCCTGGAAAGAGCGAGTCTTTGCAGATCTACTGGCTTTGCCAGAAGCTCAGAGGGTCAGTATCAACCATGGACACATTTGGGGTCAAAACCACATTTGGGGTTAAGATATTGTTGCACTGCTTTTAGCAAAATCAGGGTCTATAATCACAAGTTTCGGAAATTTATTCTGCGAACCGAGTTTGTTGGGGTAACCCGCTAGTATCACAAGTTTTAGTTCCGGACGGTTGTTTTGTTTAAGGGTTTGTGTTTGGGGTCAAGGGCTTACGCAGTAAGGCTTGAGGCCCTCCGCCTTGGGCTCCAGAAATCTTAACGAGGCAGAGCCCGGAGAATCCAGAAAGCTAAGCCCGGCCAGGTCCACGTAAAGCCTTATGGAATTTCATTACGAAACGAGGCCCCAAACAAATTTCGTGATAGGTAGCCCACGGGTCGGCCGGACTGTCTTTGGTAAGTTTGTCCGGTCACCCTCTACAATACACAGTCATTATGCGGATGATTTGTTTTTCAGGGTTTGTGTTTAGGTTATTGGCATACACAGTAGGCTTGAGGCCCTGAGGGCCTTGGGCTCCTGGAATCTTAACAGCTGGAAAGCTTCAGGCCTTAAGGTCCTAAAGGCTTGAGGCCCTGAGGGCCCCCCGTGCCCCCCTCCGCCCAATCCAGCCCAATTTGTTTGAGGGGGGTCGCTGAGCAGGCATTTATGGAGGGTCCAAATTCGCGGGGGGGGGGGGGGGGAGGCTACATAGTTAAAGCACTGCAACATAAGCGACATACGACATATATGAGCACTTCACGTTTCAGCCATATGTCATCTCCCGATAGCTTCGAGACGAGGCTCTCCGCGGTGCTCACGGTGGCGACGCAAGTCGTGGCCTTCCGCAGTGCTCAGACGGACCAGATGGACAGTCTACGCAACCGATTAGTTGACCAAGCGGAAAGCTTGTTGAACTCAACAGGAGTCACAGGCGTCGTTTTCAACGCAACCGCGGAAGATGGATGGCTGATCCCCGACGACCTGCAGCCGATCTTGGTTCCCATCCTCGCGGCCGTCAGCTCCCTGCTCGTGGCCGTCTTGCTACGTTTCCAGTTCTACTTCCGGTGGGCGAAACTGATAGGTGCCGCCGCGCAGCTGGAGTCCCAAATCTTTCAGTTCAGGGCCCACGCGGGCAACTACCGCCTCATGGGCCCCGTGGAGGACGTGGAGGGCGGGGATGCCGCGATGAGGTCCAAGAACTCCCGGGAGCTCCACGCGCGCCAGCTCTTCAAGCAGCGCTGCGAGGTCATTCTCCGTGGGGTCGGCTCCTTGGGATTGAGGAGAGTGGTGACGCTCACCACACTTACCTGGGGCAACGGCAACGCGGCAAGTGACCGGGAGGAGCAGATCATGATGCTGCAGAGGCAACCAAGGCACAGGTACTTGAACCGGTTGTGCTGCTGCAAGAGAGAGGCTGGGAGCGAAGTGGTGCCTGAAGCACTTCTGTTTGAAGCGGTCTCCGGTCGACACAGGAACGGTCGGTACAGGAAGAGCAAGATGGGAGACTCCGACCAGCTGGGCTGCGGCTGCCTCTCAGTGGATGAGTACTTCCGACTCCGTTTCAGCCCGTGCCTTCACGACATGGAGGCGGGGTAAAGGATGCGAACATGCCCCGGATTTTCCCTTCAAGCGCCCTGAACTGCCCTGAACACTGAACAGCCAGAGTATCCCTGATCTGAATGATGCAATCGCACGCAGACTCCCGCACTTGCCCAGGAGGACGTGGCTTGCCTGGGCTGCATCGTGAAGCTCGGCGACCTGATCAGCATTGGGCTGACGGTGGCAAGCACCGTCTTTGCCACCTTCGGGCTCCCGGGCAAGAGAGGGAGAGAGGCATACAAGTCATGGCACCCAAGTGCACTTGAAATTCAAGCGTCCCTTTGCTCTCGTTGCAAAGTGATGTCGCTAATGATCGTACATTGCAAGATCTCCCTTCTCGAGATCTCGGGCGGGGGATTTGCAGATTTTGAGAGATTATGAAAACCTCAAGCAAATTTCGAGAGTTGGGTTTGGTGTCAGTATTTCGTCGGGCTGTATAAAGCGTTCCCTTCACATGAAAGTGTGTGTGTGTGTGTGTGTGTTCATCTGCGACGCCCTGCATCCCGTCCCGTCTGAAACTCTGGGTATCGATGTCCCCCCCCCCCCCCCCCCCCCCCCAAACTCTCTCCCAACCCGAAGAGCTGAAGCACGGAGCTTCCACTGAGCTCCGCTTCACTGAGGTTCCCCTTTGTGACTGCAGTCCTCGTGGCGGTGGAAGTTGCGCTGCAGGGCCTCAAGAAGCATTTTGCTTGGCTGCCACGGCTCAATGTGGCCATCGCAGCTGTCGAAGACTTGAGGTGCTGTGAGCTCGAGTGGAATTCTGCCGAGCCTTTGCCCAAACGGCTCCCGAACATGCTGAACCAGATTGTCAGTAGCACCGAGCACGCGAAGCTTCAGCATGTTCACGCAGCCACTGCCGGCAGCTCCGCTTTGAATCGCACATCTGCCCCCGAGTGAGCATGAAACATGCATGCGCCCGGAGGTGCATATTTGCATACATTTTCATACTGTACAGCTCGCGGCGGTCGCCCCGCAAATGACTAAATGCTGCAGCTGCTGCAGGCACGGTCCAAAGGCAGGCCGTGCGACCCTCGACACGTGCAGCATGGCGCAAGAAAAACGCACGGCTGAGCAGCCGTGGAAGCAAGGCCAGGTGCAAAGACCAGCTGCCATAGAAATTCGCGGTGAAGCCTGCGAAGCTGCCTAGAATAGCGCAACTGAAATTCCAACATGCTCCAACCCTCGGCCGGGCACTGATTTGGGCCTGTTCACTGCATTGCACTGCGGAGAGGATGCATGTGCTTCACCGATACGTCGACATACCGACCTGAAGTATCACCAAGCCGAGATGCGGCATGCGTCACTGGCCCCGGCACAGTGGACACACAAGTCCAGTCAAAAAAAACTATGTTGCATCGACTTAGCGTACTCTCAGGCCTGTTGTCTGCACGGGTGGGGCCGGAAGATTCCGGAAGACGAAGCCAACACTCAGGGAGACTCATAATCGCCCGGACACCACACTGTGCAGGCCTCGAACAAAGCAGCAATGCATCGCCATGTTTGTGAGGCGTGTCATGCAGGCAAACTTGCTCCCGGCCTCTTCCGTGTAGTAACCGCGGAGGTCACGCACTGCTTTAGATGCACGTCGGGTTGAGAAGAGCAAAAGCGCATGGTCTTGTGGCTCAGCGAACGGCACAGGACAATATGCCACGTCACAGAGTCCCAACTTTTAAACCCCCCAGAACAGGCAGCAGCAAAACAAGCTCACGATCTGAACTCCCACGCCGACGCCCTGAAGTCTGAGGAAGCCGATGTCAACCAACCTACAACTGCAGACGTTCAGACATTTTCAACCGAAGTCTCACACGTCCCTTTATTACTCCCCCAAAGTTGCACCGGCAGTTTCAAGCTTGTGAAGCACTTTTTGGTAGAGGGCTTCAAGGTTCTATCCGCGAGGGGCGCTTGCCGACCGTTGTCCCCTAAGAAATCCATCAGCTCCTGACCCTGGGACCCCTGGCCCTAGGACCTGCCCTGAGGCTTCAGAACACTAACTACTAACGTATTCAGACTTTTCTCAGGCCCTTACAGTCCATTTCCATTGCTATTCCCCAACTTGGCTGGCAACTCCGTTGGGCTCTCTTTTGCAGCTCGAGAGCCCCCCCCCCCCTCCTCCACGAAAGAGGCCCTCCCTCTTCAGACTTCTTAGAAGGGTGTTTTGTTATAATTAGGGTGTGCTCTCTACACGCTTGTGACATCTTGTCTGCGCTAGCCATCGCAGTTAAGACGCCTGCCGAGCCATGGGGCAGCTTCAGAGTCAGAGCTGCTGCTCCAAGAGCGAGCAGCCCGACTTCGATCAAGTTGAGGTCCCCAAGTCCAGTGAGGGAAGCCCGGGTGTCTCAGAATGTGGCGAGTCGGACAATGAGTTCGATTTGTTTAGCGAACCTGTTTCGGAGCGTGGCAGAGCGGACGATGTCCACCATGGTCGGACGTTTTCATGCGACCTGCCCGTGGATCTCACACAGGGCACACTGGACATTTTTCGGGGGGTTCAGATGCGAGAGACCATGCGATGGGCAGGCAGAATCTGGCGATATCGGCCGTCTGAGTTAAATGTGCAACAAAGGTCGAAGCTCATCGGCCTTTCCAAGCAAGTGGAGCTCTTCGACATCTTCTTCTCACACACTTGGAAGACCCGAGGAAGATGGAAGGTCCTTTCCTTGGTCTTCCAGAGAGGATGGCCCGTCATGCTGGCTGCCTGGGCAGCGGGTGTAGTTCTGGCCTTCGCACTTTGCATGCTCGAGGTTCTTCCCCTGTGGAGCAGCTGGCAGACCCCGGATACCGAAGCCGTTCCCGTGGGAGGTTGGCTGATGATCTTTGGGGTGATCTTTGCCATCGGAGGCCTGGCAAGCTCACCATACTTCTTGCCTGGATGGTCGAGTGTGTGCTTTCTCGACGTTGTATGCATTGATCAGACGAACGAGAAGCGGATGCGGGAGGGGATCAATAACATTGGATCTTTTCTTCGTGCTTCATCAGAGTTACATGTTCTGTGGAGTGGGCCATACTTGTCACTTACGCTAACTTACGCACGACTTCAATCCGGTTTCGTTTTCGATTTTTGGTCGCGACTAGTTGGTTCCTGATAGTTCACTTGCTCTTCGCGGCACGTGAGTTGAGGTCCAGACTCTGGTGCATCTTCGAAATCGCGGCATATCGTAAGCTGAACCCTGCGGGAAAGATTGTGATAGCACCGATCTATGTCGAGCTCGTGGTTTGCCAGATCTACATCTGTATGCACTGCGCGGCTGCTCTGCTCTGGTATGCCAGGCAAGGTCCAGCGCAGGGTGCAGAGCCTCTTCTGCTGGGAAGCGCCTTTGTCGTATGTGGGTGTTCTTTTCTTCCGGCAGTACATGCGCTGAGAAAGGGCTGCCTGTCCAAACACCAGCTCCTGCGCGATTTGAAGACATTCAGCTTGGAGCATGTGAATTGCACAAGCGCCTTTGATCGGAGAGCCATACGGGATGCCATCGTGCAATGGTACGGTAGCTTGGACGCCTTTTCTGAGTATGTCCGGGGACCTTTCCACCAAGAGGTATTGGGCATCATCAAGCCATGGAGCTTGAGGCTAGCATACATCTTCGTGATTGTGACGCCACTTGCTGCTATGGGTTTGGAGCCCGCCCTTGCAATGTACAAGGGAAGGGTGGCGATGGAGAGCATCATCTCCTACTTCTTGAGCTTTGAGGTGGGGATGGTTCTGCTGTGGCTTCCCGCCTGCATAGTTGCCTTGGACTCTGTGAGCGATGGCATGCTAGAGCCCACTGGCACGCGCAAAGGCTATTTCCAGACTCTGGTTGCCTTCGCCTTCATCGTGGTCCTCTTTGCATGTGGAGGCATCTGTGCAGTCCAAGCCTACTCGCGGAGTACTTGGCTGGTCCTGTTGTGGGTCACCTTCTCCGCATTTTTTGCGAGCCTCATGTTTCGAAGGTGCTGGTACAGCCAGTGAGAGCCTTTTCGTACATTTTGTACATTTTTTATTAAGAGTGGAAAAAAACATTGGCGAATGTTGCTAGGGGCAGCTGGTCCTTCCACACCCGCTGGAAGTTCAACAAAATTCCCCGTTGTGAGCTGTTGTAAGCTCTAACCTCTCATGAAGATCGTGAGCGGTTTTCCGTTTCTCCTTAGAGACTGACACTACGCCTCTTGCACTTCTGATGATTTTCTGAAGGATCCGTTATTCTGTCTTCTCTAGCTGCGACACATCCGCCCGGTGCTGTTTACTTGGGAAAAGATGAGGCAATGCCAAGGGGCTGTCATCAGCACACCTCGCAAGCGTCACACCAAGCCGAGGCACCTTGAGAACGCCTTGAGGTTGGCTCGAGGGCTTTGTAGGCGATAGCTTGCACACGAGGGGCGCAACAGCTCGACTGTCAAACAGAGATGGGATTTTCTCTGAACAGTCTGGATTCGGCTCATGTGTTGTACCCTAAACCTCACGCCCAAAGGAGGGGAGCACCGAGCCCCTGCCCCCTCCACCTGAAAGCGTGCGCCACAAGCAGATTCAGGGGAGTCGCACGGTTCCTGCGATGCCCCAAAGTGCGGACATCGTGGGCGGCAGCGGTGGTAGCGGTTGCTTTGCTTGGAAGTTCGGTCGCTTGATGAGGCCTTCTCCTTTGGAGCCTTGCCTTCAACTCTGAGAGTTCTGGTTTTTTTCGTGTGCTCCACTCATACTCCCAAACCCTACTCCAAATCATTGAGGCCCTATGTGTACTTCCCCTGGCACTCTGATATTCGAAATTCTAAATCCTAGCTGAGGCTTCAGCTCCAGACCCTCAGTGAGAGCAGCGGTGTTCTGGGGGCACCTGGTACCCTGAGTCCTGGTTTAGGGCCTTTAGGGGTTTAGAGTTTAGGGTTTTGGGTTTAGGGTTTAGCGTTTAGGGACATTCGTGATTTTTTTGTTGCACTCGAAGGCTTTTTTTGTCGGCAAGTCGCCCTCTTCTCGCCGCACAACTGGAGACCCACAGCAGCCGACTCAGACTCCTGCCTTGCGTGAGTGTGAGAGTCGAAACCCTAGACCCCTGACCCGACCAGAAGCCTCTGAACTCTAAGCCTGAAACGCAGAAAGCTCAGACGTAGAGCCCGACAGGAAAAAAACAAACACACACACACACACACACACAGACCCTGCATTCCCAAAACTTGAAAACGGAACCCCAGGAACCAAAACCTCGAACCCTCAGTCTGACTCTCCTTAGCCCCAGATTCGGAACTGATTGTGCAAGATCTTCAAGGCGTTTATAGAGCCTGAAATCACAGATTCCTTTTCCCTGGCACCCTGAAAGCTAGTCACATAACACCAGAAGCCATCGCAAGACCCCTAAATTCCAGCCCGAAATCTCATTCCGTACTAAGAACCAGCCCCTACGGCGACGCCGTTCGAGGCGAAGGGGTCGCGTTCCATGGGTTTCATGAACAAAGGAAAGTTTAATTCATGATAGAAGTGTTGCTTATTTGTAGATGAATATTACTTGCTTCATTATGTATGTATGTAGCCATGTGTTTAATAGTTTTGCAGAGTTTCGACTGGCCCGAGCTCGACCTGTAAGATCAGGCCTGTAGAAGCGCAGGAGCTCGTAGAGAGCAGACCAACATGGCAATCAGCCCAGAGAACATCGAGGAATTGTTGCACCTCGTCCCGAATCTGCTCGAAGATGAGGGGTGGCAGATCGGCCATGAGTGTTCCGCTGGCAAGCTCTTGAAACAGCGTTGTCCATGGGGTGGGCATCTGGTGAGGTTGTCCTGCCAGAATATCCCCGTGAGCAACCTCGGGGATAGGTCCATCTTCGTGCGGCCCGAGGCTCGGAGTTGGCTCCTAGGCAACCGCCCCGAGCTGAACGAGGAGTGCTATGAGGTCGTGAAGCAGCTTGGAGCTGGCGAGGCTTTGGTCATGCGAGACGGGGATGTATACACACGCTTCTTCAAGCTGTGCAACGTTTTCTTCTCCTCGAAACAGAAGGACGGCGAGGAGGATGCTACTAGCTTGGCTTTCCTGTTCCCCACGGGCAAGGACATCGTGCACAACATAGTTCGGCACAACTATCCGGAGATCGGCGACAGTGTCCTTTTGGGCCGAAGTCATACCCGGAACTATTTTGGCTTCGCTCATGCCCGACGGCAAACGGAGCCGGGCCTCGTGTCGATTTCCTTGACGCTGACTGCGCCCACCGTTGCTGACTGGGTTTCGGTGCCTTTCCAAAGCGTGATCACCTCGGCAAGGGCCTTGTTTGACTGGTACGTCAATCGCCCCGGCATGGAGGAGATGCGGCGATTGGATCAGCAGTTCTATGTGGTCCTTGCCATACACAGCTGGCCAAGGGGCCGACCATTTCTGCCAGTTTTAGAGCCGAGCACCGAGGACGTGACGGAAGTGACGACCATCGACGCAGGCCGAAGACAAGGGCTGGCATTCTGGGTCCGCTACCATCCCCGCATGGTTGGAAGCAGCAACTTCCTTCTCTCGGAGTATTTGATGCTCTTCTTGGAAAAACTTGGTGAGCACGTAGACGTATACCAGTCGTTGGAGGGCCAGGCGTTGCAGCACTACCAGTGTGTAGTTCCAGACCATGAGTGGCAGCGCGTGAAGGATCGCTTCTACAGAGCTTACACGCTGCAGAAGTCGGCATATCGCCGTGCGAATGGGGGTCAATCGGCACCAGGCATGAGTGAGCATGCGGAGCCCCGCTTTCGCACAGACCAGGGCCTCTGCCTGCAACGCCTGTACAGGCCGGTGCCCACGACCCCACGATCCCCGGCCCTGGTGGTTCACAACACATTCCTGGAGCTGGAGGAGCCGGAAGAGCCGGAGGAACCGGAGGAATTGGGAACTGGTGCGTTCAAGAGAACTAGGTCGATGTCGGCCTCACCACGCTCCTTTCACAGCAAGCTGATCCTGGCAACCTAGAGATCCTAGAGCTGAGGATGTGTCGCTTGGTGCCTGGTGAGGGTTGGTGCCTGTTTTCAATGCAAGCGCAGTAATTCGATCTAGGTACCGTTGCCCGTTGCCCGGAACGCCGCGACACGTTGTACAGCACAGTGTATAGGTGTTGTTTGAAAGAAGCTGCGATGTGTCCTGGCCTATGGACGAACACATTGCTTGTAAAGGAGCTTCGCTTTCACAACTGCCAAGGAGAACCCCAGAGGGACACCAGAACAGTGCCTCCTGGCTTCACGCCGACGCCTAAACCCTAAACCCTAAACCCTAAACCCCAAACCCCAAACCCCAAACCCTAAACCCTAAACCCTAGCACCCCAAGCAGCCAACCGCAGCAGATGTTGAGGCCAACCCGACGTCTTCACCCCTGTCGCCTGCGGACTTTGCTTTGCCCGTTGGTGCCGCGGCAACTCGATCGCGTATTCGTGGCCGCGGTACGCACATCCACCAAGTTCGAACCGCCGACCCAAGCAAGCAGGGGTCCCGCCGTAACTTCAAAACCCCAGGAAGTAGTTAATTGCCAAAACTCTTGTTGAATCCCTTTTCGCCCTAAATCCTGAAGCCTAAACCAACCCGCATGCACTCCAACATTCCCATCGTCTGATGCTGCTGATGATGACGATGAAGACGATTGGCATCATTCTCACTCGTGTTCGTGTCGCTGCTCTCCTTGAAACCCATGCCCTAAACCCTAAACCCTAAACCCTAAACCCTAAACCCTAAACCCTAAACCCTAAACCCTAAACCCTAAACCCTAAACCCTTTCTTCGAATGTGCACCCTAACCCGGAGCCCAGGCACACGCCGCCCCCGGTCGTAGCTACATGGCGGTCGCAGGCGAAGCTGATACTTTGGGGGAGGAATATAGTTAATATAGTCTGCGGTTTAGGGCCTCGGGCTTGGGCCTTAGGAGGGTCTTATGGGCTTGAGCCGTTAGGATGTGGACAGTTGAGGATGTGGGTTCCGGTCAGGGTTTGGGGAAGAACGGCGGGGCCTTCAGAGCTAGAATTGGGGGGACTATAGCAAAACAAACTGTTCAGACTCCTATGTTATGGAGGTCTGTGGCCATCCGCCGAGACCCAAACGCACAAACTGGAAGAGCCACAAGAGGGACGGCCTTCATGATTTTTGAGCGGTGGCCGGTGTTCTTGCTGTGAGACCAGACAGCAAGGAAGTTGAAGGGAAGCCCCAGCTTGGAAAAGGCTATGCACCCTAAGCCCCCCTAAACCCTAAACCCTAAACCCTAAACCCTGAACCCTAAACCCTAAACCCTAAATCAAGGACAGGTCAATCAGCCTAAGCTCTGAGCAGCCCCTGAGCCCCCCCCCCACACCCTGTGACTCCAACAGTCAGGACCTACCAAGAAACAACCAGCTGAACATGACTCCTGTCGAGTTTAGGGGTTCAGGGGGTTTAGGGGGTTTAGGGCTAGTTTAGGGCTAGTTTAGGGTCTAGGGCCAGGGGTTGAGGTGTGTAGGCCTGAGGGTTTGATAGGTGGGCGTCTGCCATCTATCTGATCATGTCCTTACAGCATTGCAAGCTAACTAAACTCGTTGAAAGCTTTGGTGATCTGCCTTTTGGCCTGAATACAGGCATAGAAATACAGAGTACTCCCTTCATCAAGAACCCTATTCTAATTCTAAAGGCCCCCTAAACCCTAAACCCTATAACCGATAACCCTAAGCCCTAAACCCTAAACCCTAAACCCTAAACCCCCAATAAGAAGCCTTGTACGAGGAGCTCGGCACCGAAATCCTCTGCAGCTCGGCTTCTTGGACTTCGGAGCGCCGGGGGAATGTGACTCTGCCATCGGCAGAGGGCAGAATTCAGAATTGCGCAGCAGCAGCTGCTCCCGTACTTTCTCTTAGTAGCTGAGTAGGTCACCTCTAACCTTTTGGAGCACATATAATCTTACCATATTTGAAAGGTTAACCTTGTTTGGGCCAGGGTACTCAGCAACTAAGTTCGTCTGACTTTTCTAGATGCGCGGCTTTCCAAAACCCAGCAACCTGGGGTCGCCAAAGTGCACGCAGAGCTGGCAGAGCCAATTCTGGTGGGATTAGCAGCTCTGTGCAAGAGGTGCTCCAAAAGACAAGACATGTTCTTTTTTTCATTGCCAGAACATGCAACTGCTCCCTAGCTCTTCATCAGCACCTGTATCCATGTTTGATACTGTCGGGCTCGTGCTTGCTCGAGAAGCTCCTCAACATAGCGGCTTAACTTCATCCTCAAGACTTTTGAGGTCCCACTGGAATGCCTAGTGCGTGTTATTCGTACTCTGAGGGCTGTCGCCCGCAGCCGGCCGCCGGACAGGAACTTAGATACGCAGGTGGAAGCTCTTCTTTGCTCTTCTTTCTTCTGCACAACAGCAGTAGCAACAGCAGCAACAGCAGCAACAGCAGCAAGAACCACAACTACAATCACAACAAAGAAGGTTCTGTTGTGCGCGCTGTTAAGAATGTTCTCACGGCTTGCGCGCTGGTGACCTGATTCATGTGGGCGTGAGCTGCAGCCATGTAGTATCTTCTATCCCACTCCAGAAATAAAAGGGAGGGGGCAGTGGGGCTGCAGGCGGTGGGGCTGGTGAGCACGCTGGCCCCTGTGAACATTGGTGGACGGGTGAGGGCGGTGGCAGAACCAAGGCTTCACGACCCCCTAGGAGGTCTCGCCGGATAACCACCCTGCAGTATGAGGAACCATCCATGCTTGACCTTAGCTCTAGAGTAATGATCGTATATGTCAAATGGTGCTTCGGTATGGAGATGCAAAACTTCTGTTTCAAATCTAGGAAGGCTTCGCTTGTGCATGCCACCAGGCAAGGTCCGCACCATGCAGACCGCGCGCGCGCGGATGCTGTGCAGACCTGGACAAAAGGGTAGACATTGCGATGACTGAGAGCGAAGATTCTCTGCACTGATTCTCTGCTTTCCGCCAAAATCCCGATTCCATGCAGTTTGGCTCAGTTTCGATTTGCTCTGAGTCCTTGGTCGGGTGATGGAGATGCTTCAAGGGTGGCAAGCCGCAGCAAGCCGATTTCGTGGAGTGGCTGCATCTTTTCGCGTTCACAAGCAGTATAGTACGAGCCAGAAAGAGTCGTCGCAGAAACTGATAGGATGCAGGGTTGGGGGTCGAGGGTCTCCTTGCTGGTGGAAAACGGCATATTCCTGTGCGTTCTTCTTGAGGTTGTAGAAACCCTTTCGGGACGTAACCCATTGCACGAAACTTCTCTCTTCTTCGGGGCTGTGGGCCTTGGGAAAAGAAACGTCGAGCGGGAAATTCAGCTCTTGTTTGTTTGCCTGGCATGTCTGTAATTTCACGACTTTTTTTCGCGAGTTGAGCATGAGTTCGTCGCAGCTAGTGTCAACTTTGGTGAACTGACCCGCCCGCGGCCGCGCGTAATGCGAGGAGGGTTGTGTCGAGCGCCTGACATGCGAAGTGATCCTCTGCTTTGGCATCCTTGATATCACTGCTCTACACTGCTCTCTTCCGCTTTCTTGGCTGCAGCTTCTCGAGATCAGTGTTTTTGGGATCCTTTTTACTTTTTGGGTTATGGGCTTTCTTATATATGAACAAAAATTAGGATCCTTTTTTCTTCCTAGGGGAACAGGGATTAAGTTCTTGAGATTGAAACACGAGCCTCACTGCGGAGATCCTGTCAGTTGTAAGTGTTCGTGTCTCGTTTTTGCCAGGGTCGTTCTGAAATTTCTCCAGTGTTTTTTTCAGCGTCTCCTGCAACCAGAACTTGTCCATGGAATCAAACAGGCGACTCGTAGCTGGTCAGCCAGAGCACAAGCCATCGGTTTTGCTATGGAGATCCCGGTCCCATCCAGATTCTGGCATCTTATACTTGTCATTAAGAGAGGAGGTCCCAATAGCTCAGCACATTTCCCTGATACTCCTACCGTGAGCCCAATGTTATCGGCTTATAAACTTTGATCATTTCAGGCAAATATGCCGCGGCGCACTGTCGAGTTTTGCTGACTATGGCTGTGCAGAAGTTATGGGCATAAAGTGTCGACACAAGTGACTTGCGAATCTTGCCAGCGCAAGGCTGAGTGTGTGTCTATTGCAGGCGCCATTACGAAAGCTGAGGAAGTTTCGTAGTCAGTCTTCCGCGGATTCCTGGCGGTCCCAGTCTAGTTGCTGATCATGCCAACGAGAAAGGACCAAATCTGCTAAATCTGCTCAGGATGCCAGTCGCACAGGTTTCCCACACGGTTCTGTCGTGCGCAGCGCCATTTGGATCCCTCGTCCGACCATTCGAGGTGTCGAGCTTCCACTCTCAGAGCCGCACACCTGCAAGTTGCTTGCAAAACATCACACGACGCAAGACTCGGCCCGCCCAGCCGCCCCCCCCAAAGTTTTCCCCCACCCCCCCCCCGGTCCGACTTCCCACCTCCCAGCGACATAGAATCGACGCAGTCCTCGCACGTGACTCCACCCCCCCCCCCCCCCCAGCCCAAGTTACTCAAGCTCCTGCGCGCCGCTCGTTTGCTCAAGAAGCTTTCGCGGCCTGAAGCCGTCTTGACACAGGCTCCCGATGCCCTGCGAATTGACGGACTCGTCTAGTATAGGGTGTGGAGGTCAAACACTGAGTTTAATGTTCAAGCATTCGGGGTTGTGGTTTTGAGGGCCCCCTCAGCTTGCAACCGACGTGGCTTGAGGGATGTCCGGATGTCATATATACATGTATATATGTTTATTTTTTTACTGTATTTAAATGCATTTATTTTTTGTAACATAATCTGTACATATATATATATAGACATGTTAGTAAGTACAAAATTAATATTTTAAGATATAGCAATTTACTTACTAAGAGAAGCTAGCTGCGCATCGTCGTGCTGGTCTCGCAATGCCTAAGCCTTGAGGAGATTGGGGCTTCACTCATGTGGCACCAAGAGCTTTTACCTGAAGCAGGGTTTAGGGTTTAGGGCATGGGCTTTGTTGCTTGTTGCCTTTCTTGGGCCT